TTATTGTTGGAACACAATATTTGAGAAGATGCGTTGAAAAGCAAAAGATTAATTCTACTTAACAATATGAAACCAAATTTCGAATATCAATAATTACATATAATTGTTTCATGTAGAAAAGAACAATCAGCTACTCTCAGCTACTGTAGTAAAGGAAAAATTTGAGTTTCAGAACTTACAAATTGGTTACGTCCTGTTGACAAACGGTCAAGACACAAATTTACAATTCTCGACAAGTCCTTAGATCCAATCGCATCATTTTCATAGAATTTCGCAAGTTCATCTTTCAGAGCATCCACCTAAGATACGCGTCAGAAGCATAGAGCTCTCTCCATGTTTGGGTGTTAGGTAAATCCTTTTCAGCGCCAGCCTGCCCCTTTCCCGTGAACCCCACCCGTTCGCCATCACACTCATGTTACTCCACTTGTCCTAAAACCCAAACTGAGACCAACGCAAACTATTATGAAATCAGAACCTTTAATCCAGGTGTGTGTTACCGAACTGTATATTTTGGGATATTCTGTCAGATGACTAACCCAAATTTTACAAAATGCTTTTTATTAATTGAATAGATGGGCATTAAGGATGCAGGATTGGAAAGCAAAGAAACTAACATTTTTTGGCATCTGTAAGAACACTTCAATCAAAACTTTCTCCTCACCATGTGCAGTCCCCAGAACGACGCCATACAAGCCGGCCGCGACTCCTTCCCAGACGCCGCCGCCCAAATCTCCTTCTAATCCCGCTGATCTGTGCTGGATCAACTCAATCGGGACGCTGTTGGTCTTCAGCGGACCGCGGCCGTGCTTGAAGTTGGTGATCGCGACTGCCAGGAAAAACTATACCTTCAGATCAACATTGCACATTAAATGTAAAACACCATTGAATTGTGGGTCCTTGAGTACATGCACTATTTACCTGGGATCATAAAGGAGAAAAAAAAGAGTAAGACATAAATGAACTCAACTACAACAGAACTATTTTGACAAACAAACAAAATGCCTCAACATTTGTCTTTGGTATGAACAACTGAAACAAGAAGCAGCAGTAAACAACATTTCAGCAGCTATTTTCGTTTTTATTCTATAAAAAGTCCTTAACTTTTCCCAACATATCTCTCCAGTTTTTTTAACTTGGCACAAAAAACTTCTGCACACACTCCTAGGCTTCAATGTAGGATGAACTCCATGCCGCTGGACACTTTTAGAACTCCATCACACATGAATCATTTGTACATTTTGTGAGTAAAGCGATCGATAGTAAAAATAAATAAATAAATAAAAATAGAAAAAAAAAAACATACCAATAATTTGATGATTAAAAAATGGAACAAAGCTAACAACAGTCACCAGTAGAGAGTTGCACCAGCCTTAGTAGGTAGCTAGCAGTAGTACAAGGTAGTCACTGGTATCATTGCTTACCAGTCATGTAAATTATTGGTTATAAACTAAAGCTATTGTTTTCAGGACCTCCATACACACAATAAAAGTATTACGGATGAGTACTACAAAGTGTCAAAAGTTTAACCCCAAGATTTAAGTACATGAAGCTATTAATCAAGTTTATAAAGAATAATAACATTGAAAACACCTCTGTTACCGAAAGTGCAATCTGTAAAAGCAAAAACAAATTAAAAATTACCCATTTCCGACAAGAAACCAGTGACAATCTTGAAAATTCTACGGTTTCTCACGTATTTTACCAAAACTCAGGACAAAGGTTTTTATTTAACCCCAAATGGTAAGTTATATAAATTTTTGCAGTCTTCATAGTCCGTTATAAATTATAAATGAAACTGAAGGCACCGAAACTTAACAGATTAAGATGATAAAATCCAAAATGCAAGCAACTTAGGAGCAGCTATTCAGAACAAACTGACGTACCTCTTTCAGTAATAATTCTTGCAATCGACTTCTTCTCCCCTGGTTTAACCACCACCAGAGCTCCAACATTGTGCTGGGTCATCTGCATTTGAAGAAATAAAACAAGGGAAAAAGAAACTAAAATTGAAAAATGATCATGATCATATCTCATTTTCATCTTTCAGATAAAAAATTACGAAAGCAAACATGAAGATTTACGGTGGGGCATATAGGGGGGAACAGGCAAACAAACAACGCCTGGATAATTACAAAAACCACCAAAAGAGCTTAAGCTTATTTAGAACTGATTCCAGCTTATATAAAACTACAAACACCCTTTCGCATCCCCTGCATACCTTATCGAAAACTCATTTTGAGGCTACAATTTGTAATAGACAAATAAACGTCAACTCAAATTTTTACCTAATTCAAAATCTCAAAAGATAATTGAAAAACAAAGATGTGTATTACTGATTTCACGACTTCATACAAATTGTCATCAGTCGTGCACCAGAGCCAGGACCCATCCGCGCCCTTCCCGTTGGCTTTCAGAACATCAAAAATTGTGGTGCTCTCAAAATTGTGCTCTACGATTGGGGCCACAGAGGTTTACTCTTGGCGTGAAAATATCGGAGTCCTCGTGGCTGGTGGAGCCACCCGGACATGGCGAAGAATCGCATTCTCGAGAACACTACCATTCGATAAGATTTCTTTGATTCCTCCTTGCATTGTGCCTTATCTAGCAAAAACAAGAAAACACATATCATTATTGTAAGTCGATAAAAGTATCATAAGTTTGATTTAGCTACAGCAGGTTTTGCTATTGATAATCCTACTTGTGATTCATCACTCGTTGGTGTTGAATTCCACCCACTCGCACCCCTGCTCGCTGGCCCGCTTCACCACCGCGAAGTTCTGCGGCACCACCACCGCCTGACCCTCACGGACCTCGCCGTCCAACACCGCCCAACCCCGGTGGTTCACAATCTGCATCCGGGACGCACAGCGCGTGACGTACAGGAAGCTGTGTGCTTTCACGAACCAGTGCAGCGCCATTCCCGCGTTCTGCCCAAAAAAAAAGAAAGTTGGAAATTAATTTGATCAATGGCCTGTTAATAATTGGATGTTGAAGCAATTAATGTGGACTAATTTGAAATCACTGCGTTAAGCNTATATATATATATACATATAAAATTTACATATGAACAAACACAAACACCTAAAAACATGTCAATTTTCACAAAAAGGAGGCATTAGTTTCACAACATAACAACATACCAAGCATCATTCAAATTTCAACGTGTTCAAATTAACCACACACATTAACCAAGCATTATTCATATTTCCATCCGATGTCGTTTTTAGTGTTGGACCTGCTAGCCCGTGAAGGGACCCCGTCTGACATTTCATGAAATTTATAAAATGAATACTTTGTCAAATCTGATTCTTAAAATAATAATAATAACAATAATAAGCTTATAAACTTCAACACTAAGCCACCAATAATATAACTAATGTGAATATACACGTTATAAAGCACAATGTAGCAATTAGCAAAATCTAAGTATAAATTTAAATACACATTAAACATAAAGCTCTCATTCCATACTTTCAGTTTCAGTAAACTGAACAAAAAAAAAAACTGAAAATAGAAGGAAAATAAAAAAAAAAATCTGAAACTGAAAAAAAAAAAAAAGCTTTCTTTCATTCACTTATTCACATAAAGCTTTCTTTCCATACTTTCAGTTTCTTTCCATTCACTTATTCACATCATTAATCATCAATTATGAAATCAAGGAAAAAAAAAATGGCCTAAATCTGAAACTGAAAATAGAAGAAGAAAAGAACTTACTAGTGATTGAGAGCTGCCTTGCCGGATCTGGAATCGCCGGTCGCCGGTCACCGGTCGCCGGAGGGTTGGGTCAGTAGAGAGCGCACGCCGCACGGAAGCTACAGATAGGGATAGTTTGAGGAGCGTAGGGTTTTTTGTGTTTCAGGAAGATAGAAGCCCGTATGTATTATGTTTTATATTTCTTTATTTTTCAGTACTTGGGCCTGTAAAAAAGGCCCAATTTCGTTTTTAACCAAAATTGGCCCAGATTTCCGCAATTTCACGCCATATCCACCATACCGCCATGACCGCCATGGCGCCGCCATTGCAAATCCGCCGTATGTGCAGCCGAATTACTGTCAAAGAGTAAAAGACATCGACTTGGGAAAGAAATAAGATCTGCTTTTGTATTCTATGTGTAACACACAAATAGCTCAGGCCTCAGAAGAGGTTAAAGCTGATACAAAGAAAAGGATGCCCTATGATGACAGGCTGCTCTAAACAATTTAAAATTCAATGTCGAGAGTATTTTAACAGTTCAACTGATTGGATGAAGATCCATATTCGATAAACTTGGAAACACTGCATATAGTTCTGACTTCTGACAGCCATATACGAACAAAGAAATAAATCATGTTTAGTAATCAGGAATAGAACCAGAGGCAAATGGCATATAACAAAATGTATCAAGAAAGTTTAGCAATCAGCCAGATCTTTCTATCTTATGATTCCAGACACAAATCTGCCATTTATCACGCACTGTCTAGAAAGAGTTTCCAGGCAAAAGACTGGCGATATTCTCTTCGAACTCCTTCAAGTATGAGATTTATAGTTAATCACATAAGATTAACTGACTAATACCAAAGGGAAACATCTGGAACTAAACATATATCCTATTTATTGTCTGGGCTAAGAAGAGCATATTATGCATTATCGAAGAATGAAAAGTTCAAAATGCATTTTAAAGCCGAAATTGGCTTCAGCAGTCCAAAACATAATAAACAGAAGAACAAAAATATATTTCTGGAGAAGAAAACTTCAAAATTACCTTTAGAATTACATAGGAATCTCCTGTGAAAAATTTTCCATGTGAGGATTTTGGGACTGTGAGAGGCTGGAAATTTTCAATTCGCCATATCTCAAGGCCGCTAGATTAATGTTAAGGAGACAAACATGTGTCAAGTCATCATACTAACATAATTTAAGGAGACAAACATGTGTCAAGTCATCATACTAACATAATTTAAAGCAATAATAATAGCAATTAAAAATGATATAGGGGTAAGCATGATCTATAATGATAAAGCTTTTATTGTTCACAACAGGATACGCCTTTTGTCCAGCTCCCTGGAAAGCTGGATCCACATCTTTCATTGATACAGACATGGTGCTTCTCCACAAGTTCTATATTCAAAATTCTAAAGACCTGAAATCAAGACTGGAAAACCATGGACGATGAGTGGGTAAATAATATTTAAGGGGAACAAATAAGCATATAAAATGGTAAATGAATAAAAGCAGTATAATGCACGTACAACTGTGAAACTACTAAATAGAAGCCAGATTAAAGGAATAATCAATAAGTTAAAATGGGCAGGAATAGTTGATCTTGCAGGTAAAGGGATATATTGCACTTAGTAGTTGTCAATTTCCCTTCATGACAAAAATAATTTCTTGTGTATCAATGATAAATTTCTAAAATTTCTCACCCAAAACAACCATAAAATCAAGCAAGGTTTACTTTCAAGGCATCTTAAACACGTACCGACGTACGGAAGTCCTAATGGCACTCTGCCTGTAGGAAAAACTCAATTGAACTGGCAGCTTTTTTCACAGGTGAAGCCTTTTTACTATGGACTGGGAACTGCAACAATATAGTACAAAGATGATGCAGTACTCCAGATTTAAGCTTCTCAAACAGCCTTCAGGCCCATATTATAGCAACTCAACTACCCCGAGAAATGTGACTCCAATTCAGGTATCATTGTCTTTCTTTTGACAAAAAGTTTAAATTCTTTTTCTTGCTTTCTTCGCAGGTATGCTACTTAAATATTCATTTATGGCCAATTATGCTTATTTCTTCGTTGCTTGAACTTTGGGTTTGACGAATCATCTTAACTGACAACTCTATGGCAATCCCATATAGTTAAGTTTTCAAGTTAATGATAGATATCTTCCAATCCAGTTTGATGTATCTAGGTACAAAGTGATGCACACAATACTTATTTCCAAATTGCACTTTCATTGAGAAAGTACACGAATCAAATTTCTGAACTCCTATAGAAAAGACAATGCAAGCAGAGAATCAGCTGACATCAGAAAATTTCCCTCCATCACTTTTTCTTCCAGGGCACCAATGCAGATGGAATCACCTGGTATCCTAGTCATAAGGTATTTGAATTAACTAAAACCTGTGCCTAGGTAGGATTTTCTTCTCAATAAATAAACCATAAAAAATACACTAATTGATATTGTATGGAATCACCTGGTATCCTAGTCTTAAGGTATTTGAATTAACTAAAACCTGTGCCTAGGTAGGATTTTCTTCTCAATAAATAAACCAAAAAAATGCACTAATTGATATTGTATGGTTCATTCATCTATTCACTAATTGATATTGTATGGTTCATTCATCTATTCAGTCCTATTCCTGGCCAATTTCATGGTGGAAATAATCTTGAAATTCGAAAATCACATGGATTTAAGTACATTCGAAGTTTTTTTATTCAATAGCACATTTTACCAAACAAGAAAATTCCATTCAAACATTCAGACATAACAGAGCTAAAAAAAATTTCACATTCCAAAGCATCGTTTCAAATTTTTTCTTTAAAAAAAAAAAAAAAA